ATAGACTTATAGCAAATAAGGGATCGTTTGGGCTAGCTAAACGATCCAGGGATTTCCTTGGGTTGGAATCACGTGACCAGCGACATGGCCGACTGTTCGACCATGGCGACCATGGGAACGAGGGTTCTATATAATACTGGCACGTCTGCCATTAGATAGGAGCTTCGTGCTCAACTTAGTTATCAATCTTATCATATTAGTTTGACATCTTTGATACAAGTAACGAGTTCACTTCCAAGTGAACAACCCGATAGTCTTCTTCTTATCATAGCATACCAACCAGCGAACACCCAGCCAAGTTTAGTTAGCCCGTTTGAGTATTCGTTACACATTCACTATTATATAGCGACAAGTTATTTTACTAATTAGTTATATAATAAGATCTATTTATTATATAATCTAGTAATCCAAAGTTATTTCTAATAGCTTTTATTATATTTTTATTTATTTATTTATTGCTATTTAACGTCAAGCGGAGTCTAGCTCGCGTAGGTGTGACGGTTCTGACCGTCACGTGCCATTCATATCACGTGGCTTCCTTAGCGAGCCACATTGTATTTAGACTCAAGCTCTCTCGAGCTCTCCTCTTCTCCTCAGCTTAGAATCTTCGAATAGACAGTTCTACGATTCCATAACCTACACCTTGGAGGCTCCTTGAGCAACACATCGTACGTGTCGTCACAGTAGGCTAGGTCCTAGAAGAGGCCCAATATGGGCAAATGACGCTAGGGGGGTGCCCTAGGCTACAGGGGGTGTAAAAGAAGAGACGCTAATTTACAAGAGACTAGTCTTCTTCTTATCATAGCATACCAACCAGCGAACACCCAGCCAAGTTTAGTTAGCCAGTTTGAGTATTCGTTACACCAAGCCCCATAAACAAACTCCCATACGCACGTACTATCTCCAAGATCCCTCCCACAAATCCCCAACCAACTGACCAACATCCATATAAATCACAGTCCCCTCTAGCAGTTAATTTCTCATCGTCTTCACAAAAGCTACTTCCACGCTCCGTAAGTATCACGTGCGTTCCGTTCGGAAAGTTGGTGGTCGGGGACCTAACCGCATCGGGAATAGTGCGTGCGCGGGAAAAAGACGGAGAGCCGACGGGAAAGGACGCTAAGCTTGTGGAGGGCTTTATATTTTGAGAACTGGGAAGAAATTTTTCTCTTCTGCGAGAGGGAGGATGTCAAACAACAACCTGCAACGCGGTAACCAGCGACGCAGTGGTGATGTATATCCAGCTTCGTTCAGCATCGTTCGTCATGGACCATCGCGTCTCGTCTTTTGCATGAAGTGACGAGGTGCTCCTGGGTTCTCCCACCAAACCCGACAGCGACCGCGCATTCACGTCGCGTATCGTGTTGTGTCGACGAGCTCAATCAACCAAGCGGTGGGTATATTTCCGTCCATCCGTCCATTAATCCATCCATCCATCAATCCATCCATCCGTCAAGCTCAGAGAAGGGAATCGCACATCAGATCAGATCAGAGAAGAGAAGGGACAGAAGGACGAGAGGGAGGGTGAGAAGAGAGGAAGAGAAAACCACATATTGCCTACCTCCTGCGCCCACTCAATGGACTGGAGCGTCACTTATTACAAAAAATATCGTTCGTGGGATAGCAAACCAACGGCCTAGACAGCCCGTCCGATCCACCCTGTTGGCGTAGATGTAGTGCGCTAGGAGGACTAAATAGGACAGATATTACTATCTATATCTTTAATTTTTATCATTTTTATTTTTATTTTTGTGGTTTGGTGGCTTGTGGTTTGTTGTGTTGTATTCTTGCTTTTTTCTTTAGAGAGAAAGAGAGAGAGACAGAGATGTTGATGGATATTATAATCTGATTTGATTTGATTTAATTTAATTATTTCATACAAACTTTTAATGTTTTATTACATACGAGTACCAAGTACCCCGCGAGACTTTGCAGACCGACTGGAACGGATTTGCCTACAAGTACTGTACTATACCTATCTATATAATAATATCATATCATATCATATACCCACCAACAAACACCACACGCCACGCCACGCTATTCCTATTCCTCAGAATACATACAAATGAACCGTAGGATTCGCAAAAAGTACAAATGCGTTTTTTTCATCTCCGCCACGTGTTGAAGTGTAGAACATATCTTTCATGCTTCGATGGGTAAACCATTTCTTTCATGCTTCGATGCCCACACCATCTTAGATAGGCGGGCTCCAATCAGGAGGAAAGAAACTTCTCAAGAAGATGGCGACCAAACGTCCCGCACCATTGGCTTTGATAAGTTTGGGATCGAAGTCGTAGTCGAAATTCGGGTTGGGGGCACTGACGAGAAGTGGATTATTGGAGAGCGTGATGATTTCTGAGTCTGTATGTAAAACCAATCAGTCAGTCAGTCAGTCAGTCAGTCAGTCAGTCAGTCAGTCAGTCAATCATCTATTTACAGAATGGAATGGAATGGAATGGGAGAGTAGGTAGTGCTCTTTCTTACACGAAGTACTAATCATCTCATAAATCGACCTCACCATCACATCCGCCTCATGATCCAACCCCGTCCCCCCCCCTGTCGCCAACCCACTCAACGGATTAAACCCCGCCTCCCTCCCCCTCTGCGCCTCCCGATGCGACCGATAAATATCATGAAATAACTTCATACACTGCCTAAAAGGCAACTCATCAATCTCCCGACACGCCGCCCAACTCTCACTCCTTGAATACGCCGACCCCCCCGCCTTCTTCATATCACACACCACATACGTATCCGACGCGATCTGCAGACCCTCCATACACAGACAGAGCACGAGGAAGGCGCAGAAGGCCACGCCCCAGGAGTCGCGCGTGCGCGTGCGCATCGTGCGTTCAAGGCCTTCGAGGACGGAGATGGTGATCTCGCGGCTGAGTTTGTGCATGGCGTATTTGATTTGGCGGTTGAGCAGGCGCGAGGAGACGTATTGTGCGCGTTGGGCGCCGAGCATGGCCATGGCGGGGTAGACGCTCCTGGCGGAGTCTTCGGTGAGGGTGATGAAGGATTTCATGTAGTAGTGGATTCCGTGGAGCATTAGGGCTTGGGAGATGAGAGGGCCCTGGTTGAGTTGAGTTGAGTTAGTTGTTTGTCTTCTTTACTATTGTGTTGGTGGAGAATGGACTTACTGCTGTGGTGTTGTATTGTTGAGCTGCGAGTAATATCACGTAGGGAATCCGAGTGGGCTCTGCAGCCGTGACTTGCATAACATAATACGGATTCTCGATCATCTCCTCGATATGCTCTTTACACTTATCCTTCAACTCCGACATGGACAGACCGAATAGGCCTATCGGAGCACTATCCTGAAGTACAAGTCCACCGTATTGCGGTTCTCGGTTGACGGTTAAGCGATGTTGTTGTACTAGGTCGAACCCCTTCACGCGGAAGAGATTCACCACCAGCACGAGTGGCTTGAAACATACGCCCGCGTGGACGGCTACTTCGAGAACCTTGTCGTCGAAGCCGTTCGTGTGGTCACTGAGTAGCTCTTCGATCTTGCGCTTCTTGAAGTGCGAATGTAGGTACTCTGATGAAACGGTGAGCCAGACATCCAACCAGCCAGTTATCAAAGAATTGGGAGAGGAAGGGTACCTGGGTAGAAGATTGGCTGATAGTCCTTGAAGTGTGACCGGTTACAAACCTGAGTCCCCAAGGGCGAGAACTGTCTCTTGCATCTCTCACACGGTTTCCCAATCGAGCACTAATTCCCTCATCAGTTCCATCCATTTCCTAACCGCGGACAGAGATGAAATTGGACTCACGGGAACTTTCTGGATCCAACAGTTCCAACAAGCCGTTAATTTTCGAACCTTCCGCGCCTTCTCCGCAGCATCCGGATCCAACTTCCCTTTCCTGACACCGTGTCGTACTTTGGCTTGCTCCTGCGGTTTCGTCAAGAGTGCAAACCCATCCTGTTGCACGACAGAATGATGTTCCCACGTATGATTGATGGGTTTCTTGCCCTTCGCCTTCGCCGGCAGTCGCGGGGGACGACTTTTCCGATCCGGTTTTCGATCATTTTTCTTCGACGACTTACTTTGGCCTTCGGAATACTCAATGATCTGAAAGGAGGCAGCCACATTTTGCAGCTCCCCGGGGACCGGTTTGGCGGCTGGCTCTGGAGATGGGACGAAGGCGACATATCTTGGTTCATACCCTTCGGTGGGGACTCGGGATGGCTGCATATGAGTCCACGGACTCTCGGGACCCTCATGAATGAAGAATGAGGTTCGGGGTGATAAGGCCATGTTTGGAACCAGCGCGCCTGAATGGTTTATAGATGAGGCGTTTTGCTGCATATGCAGCCCATACTCGTGGGAGGCTGGACTATCTCCATAAATACTCACGCCTGTTGGATCCGGCGAATATGGATTGTGGATGGGGGAGGGTACTAGATCATTTTGGTCAGAATGTTTGGATGGCTGTCTGTCTGTCGGTAGTCTCATCTCTCATGGAGTCGTCGATGAAAGTGAGAGTGAGCGCTTTCTCCATCTATGAAGCTTTCGGATACGTAAGAAAAAAAGAACACATACCTGGTCCATACATGCTGAACAGAATGGTATTCGGATCATGAGGCTGATAGTTGTCCTCCTCCACCTCCATCTCTCCACCGTTCGCCCACTCGCCCACTGACCCTTGGCTTCTCGGTACGGAATACCCCCCCTGATGATCGGATCCCCCCGTCGACGAACCGTTGGAATGAGCTCTCTTGTGTACCATCACGTAACTACTACCCGTCTGCGGTGTCATGACAGTCGCATTTCCACTGTCGTGGTGGAGAGGACTCGACGAAGCGGTGCCGGTACGTGGTGGTGATGCTGCGCCGTCAGTGTCCTCCTCGCTTCGCCAACGCCAACTGGAAAACTCCAGGAACGCGTCCTCGTATCCTGTCTCTGCTGATCCTTCTGGTAGGGCTGTCGCGGCAGGCAGGAGCACTGGCACTGGCACGGGCACGGGCAGAGGGGGACAGAACGGCAGCGGCAATTGCTCTCCCCACGTCATATTTAACTGACGATCAGCGCTTCTGGAGACTGGGGATGCCGCCGCCGAGGAGTTCTTCTGGAAAGGCGGGATGCGGATTTCTTGACAAACGCGCGATGGTGGCTGCAGCCTCTCCCATGGATGGGACTGACTTGGTGGATTTCCTTTGAGCATGATAGGTAGAAGATGAGATCCCTTCCCTCGGTTATGTTTGGTATCCAGTCCTTTTCCTCCTCGAGGGGACCACAAAGCCCCGGAGGGCGTGAGGAGGAGGTTTGAAGACTTGCTGAGGGTAGATTACCAATGAGGGACCGCGGGATGAAGTGTCATCTAGCAATTGCAAACACAGGCGAGACAGGATAGAAGGGATCCCTAGCTTGTGAGACTTACTTACGCCTCTTTGGTCGAAAAGACGAGAGACACTCCCCCTTTCTTCCACGCCTGGGGGCGAGTTGTACTTGAATCGGAGTCGAATTTGTATGATGAGCTCAGAGGTGGCTCATATCCCCCAAATCTAGAGGCTGATGACGGGCCGAGCTCGAGGGGGTCGTAGATAACTCGACGGGATAACGGTCGTCTGCGGGGTTCATACTGCATGGGGAACAAGCGTGCCAATATCAAGGTGTGAATTCATGCAGCTACAGGCTATCTCTTCCAACCACATCATCTTGGCATATCTGCGAATTACCCTTCCTGTCACCGAGACTATATAACACCTTACTAAATCCCACTCCAATTCCATAGCAAATATCGCCGCGACGCCCGAGCTGAAGACATGCTGTGAAAAATTCCAAACGCAGCAATTGCAAGCTTCAAATGCCAATACACGACAATATAACAATCAGCTACACCGGCGGAAGATCAAAGAAAGAGGGGGCAACTTGGGAACAAATCTGTACTTCGCTCGGCCTTCTAAGCCTTTATCGCCCATAAAATCATTTGCTCATAAATATTCCTCACAAGGGAATCAATTCTCGATATCTGTTCTGTCTCGAACCGCCAACCATTCGCAGTGGCACTCTCTATTCGATTTTTCCAGCAATTCAAAAGATCCTCTTCCGGTAGTTCTTGGCTCCGATGCCACGGTTTGTGGTCTTCAATCCGGCATTTCCCAAGTCCGGCGAGAATGAATAGAAAGTGCACAACGACCGGTCTTGAGCCCATGGGTATTATCCAAATCCGGAGAGTAAAGAAAAAGTACATGGAGATTCGTTGGGTCCCTGGGTGGGCCTGAAAAAGGAGATGTAACAGATGACAGAATTTGGAAAGTTACTCCCAAGGGTCCAAGGACAAGGACAATACCAAATCTGAAAAGTTGATCACATGGTTATGTGTAACTCGGAACGCCCCCGTGTCGAAAATAACTCGAACACTTACACGCTCAACGTAAAAGTTGTGCAAATGAATGTCTCATCAAGAGCGATATCGAGTGGCAGCGGCTCGTTCCTGGATTTGTTTCTCGGTTCTATCAAAAACGTTAGCACTTCCTTCTTTCCCAATGACCAAAGTAAGATCCCGTCCCATAGAGACAATTTGATTTGGGATGAGAAAAGAGCCAGGGAGGCGGGTTGCTTACGTAGAGTACAACCGATCCAAATACGACATAGCCTCTGCATCCCTCAGAATCTTTCCAACTTGAATTCCTGCGGAAATCAACTGGAGTATATTCCTATCGTCTTTTGGTGGACGTGATTGATGTTTTGCGGCATGTCGCATTTCCAAGGAGTTTTCCAGGATAGTGATGAATTGTTTGATCTGACCGTTATATAGAACTCTTGCAGGGATACGTCTTTTAGTAGCCAGCCGCTTCAAAAGGTATACCCATTCCGTCCACTCTCGGTCTTGAGGTCTCTCCACTGGCCGTAATTCTCCATTGGCTAAAGGAATAGGAAACTGGTATTTCGCCACAAAGTCGAAAGCACACTGAGAAAGTCGATCATTGACTCTGGTGAGAATGGCATCCTGCTCGTGGACCACCAGATTGGTTGGGAGATGTGGCAAATCTCTTTCCTGCTGGGCAATGTATTCTGGTGGGGGTCGTTGCAAAAATTGATGTGGTCCGTCAAATTCATCTCTGTTAGAAGGCCGTCTTTGCGAGGAGTGTCCTTTGCCATCGGATTTGGCTTTGTTACCCCGACTTGGGGTATCAAGAATATAGTCCTTGGGACTTTGAGAAACAACGTAATCATCCAGATATGTTTCGGGCGAAACTCTGCCATAATTGGAGACCTGACTGGGATAAGAAGCGAATCCGGGACCTGCAGATCCGTATATGGCCGACGATGGCCCTGGATTATACCCACTGGGGGTGCTGTACATCGAGTCGGCACGCAAAAGAGATGATCCAGGAGCGATGTTCGGCATTGGACTATAACTTGAAGCTGCTACATCGGATATGTATGGGGTGCTTCACAATTCAGTCCTTCAGCGGTTTGGCTTCGAGTTCTTGGAAACAAGCTTCCTTACCTGGTGGTTGGGTAGTAGGAACTGTCAAACGCTCCTGGGTGAGTGACGTCCTGATAAGTACTTTTGGTTCTCGTCAGCTTGTACGTCCTGGTGGCATGGTCAAATCGGTGTCCATACCTTCGCGGGGGCCCCGACATCCCATTTGGGATGGGTCGGCCGTAGTTGTAATCCTGCTGGACTTGGAGACTCCTTCTGGATGCCATGGTGATTGAATTTCCAACTTTCCGTGTGGGGTCTGAAAATGAGAAATGCACAACAATACTGTAGGGAAAGGAAAGTAGAGGGGTAGATTTTCTCCTTTGGGTGTCGGGCGACGGAAGTAATCCAGGTGTATCAATAATGGATCCAGCTGGCGATAAAAAGATGGGTCTTCCTAGGATAGATAGACTTTGAAGGGGAGTCCAAGGCGGTGAATGAGTCCTGCTGACCTAAGTTTTTGCGGTAAGTTTACGAGTGCTCAAGCTCTCTTCAATGCTCTCGGTCTGAGATATGAAGCCGCTAATATATAGACTTTGGACGAAAGCAACGGTCCCTTTCTGGATTTATATCCAACGGACAACGGTGGGCACCTGCACGCTTGACAAGCGTGACAACGGGGCGATTGAGGCACGATCTTGACCCTAACCAGTGACGCCTCGGCTAATGGTTTTCTTGGAAAACTCGCAACACCAGAAGCAAAGGGAGCGAAGCACGAAGCACGAAGCACGAAGCACGAAGCAAAGCAGCGAAGCAGATTGCGGAGAGTTTGCCACTGCCAGGTCGGGCGTGGATAGGATGGGGAGGGGTGAGGAGGGGGGAAGGGGGGGG